AGGTAACATTTGTAGGGTTTGGAAGAAAATGCAGTTTTTGTCAGAGAGGTGGTACATACCCCCTGAGCTACTCTTGTTTTTACAAATGAGTTCTTGGACTAGGAGGTAGAAAGAGCCTCCTTCACTGCTGCACATACTAGGTCACAACCGTGCTCTGTCATTGTACAAAATACCTATACAACTCTGTCACTCAACTTTCATGCTTCACAGGAGGACCAAGTCCCCTGATGGTCCTTTATGAGCACACTGCAGTAGAAGAAAGCTGCAAAATAGCTGTGTAACTCTCAATCAACCGTCATGCTTCACAGGATGGCCAAGTCCTCTGATGGTCCTTTATGAGAACAGTGCTGTAGAAGAAAACTGCAAAATAACTGTGTAACTCTGTCAATCTCTGTTGATGTTTAACATGAGGACCATGTCCTCTAAATGTCCTTATCAGCACTCTGCAGTAGAAGAAATCTGCAAAAAAACTGTAACTCTGTTAATCAGTTTTCATGCTTCACATGAGGACCAAGCCCTCCGATGGTCCTTCTGAGCACACTGTAGTAGAAGAAAGGTCACATGAGGACCAAGTTCTCAGATAATCTTTGGGAGTATACTTCAGTAGAAAAAAGCTTCAAAAGAAACTGTGTAATTCTATCAATTCACTTTCAAGCTTCGCAAGAGTACTAAGTCCTCTAATGGTCCTTATGAGCACACTGCAGTGGAAGAAAGCTGCAAAAGCATCATGGCTTTTTATCCTTTGCCATAGTCCTCTGCTTCTGTGACTGGGAAACTGGCTCAGCTGCACCACTGACTGCTGAGCTTTTTAATAAAAAACAGTTACTCTTCTGTAATGAGAAAAAAAAGTGAGCTTTGGAATTTTAAAAGTACTTTTTTTGTACTGGCTGCCTTGACCATGTAGCAAATCCTGAACATGGCAGCCCCACCCATTGTGTTCGTGGGTGGGACGGTTCATAGTAAATGGACGATATAAAAGTTCCATGGCAAGCTAACTGAACTATAAACTGCTTCTAAGGATTAGTAATAAAGGTCCACAGATCTCCTGAGGAAGCCCAAGACTTGGCATCTGAAGTTTCCTCAGAGCAGTAGGGGCTGCCGAAGCCCGTTGTGGAAGGAAGAATATTATTCCTTCGATTACCCAGCCAAGTATCAGCATACACTTTGATTGCCAAGCCTGAGGAAGAAAGGGTACAATTAGTAAATTGCTGTGTAATTTATAGCCATGAAGATCATCAGTGCCAGCTACTTTTCATTACACAAAGTCACAGCTAATTGGCTTTGTCACTTTCCTTGTTAACACATAAAGGACCACTAAACCTAACGTACAACCCTGAAACATTCCGTAAATGAGGTGTTAATCACAAACAGAAATGTGTATGTTCAGTGACAGAGTATGACCACTTATGTTGGAATAATTTTTGGTAAACAGCCATAATAATGGTTATTGTTCTCTATAACCGGCTTTGATTGGCCAGTAGGAAATAAGAGACAATCCTTTGGTGAAATTTGCGGGGGGTCAGCGTGCTGAGTTTGATATTACCCCGTGCCAATGATTCCTCAAATGTTTTTTGAATATCTAGTCAGGCATTGGGAGGTGGGTAGCATTTTAACTCCCATATTAAAATTAGGTGATGGACACAGACTGCAGATAGACCCTGTGCAGAAGAATAGTTTGAGCCTTCCTTTATCATGTATGTAGTCATTGCCAAACCAATGATTTAGAGTCCAGAAATGTATTTTTATTGATTTGTCAAATGGCAGAAAGGATAGCAGGGGACAGCCAATGCGTTTTGGGAGCCTAACAATCTTAGGCAACTTGTTGCAAGATCTAATAGAGCCTAGGCTTGCATGTCAAAGCTAGACGTGGGTAGTCAGTGAGTGTCCCTATTATACAGCTTTGCAGCCAAAGCTCGGCCCTGATACATTTAGGTAGTGGCGTCAATAGGGGGGTGCAATGGGTGCGGCCCGCACTGAGTCGCACTGTCAATTACTTTGGTGTTGCCCCCCAAAGTGTCAATCACTTTGGTGTTGCCGGCGTCCTTCACCAAGATGGCCGCTGGCAGGTAACCGCGTGTGACTACATCACGCACATGCGCGATGACATCACGGCGGGGTGTCACTGATGGTAATACGCATTATGTATAAATTGTTGGTGCTATATAAGTTCCTGTAATAAATTTAAAAAACACTCTTTTAAAGTTCTCCTGTGTCTTGCCTTGTTGGGCAAAGCAAGAAACTCATGGCAGACCTCTGCTGTGCTTACCTTATATTTTGTTCTTCTGCCTTCCATTTGCCCAGGGAACAGAAGTGACATACCCAGCATTAGAAATCACTAGTAGCAAAGTCACAATAAGACCTAAAATTGGACACTTATTTCATCCGCAAATTCCGAATGTCCACTCCCAAATTCTTTAAGTCCCTGCTTTGAAATCTTGCCAGAACCATAGTAAGTTATTTGCCCATTGCAATTTAAACTCAGGGTTCCTGAGAAGTAAAGTGACCACCATGCATCATAAAGATCATTAACGAAAAATAAAATACTTTTGTTTACCTATAAAAAAAACATTATTTTTTTTATAATTCAGGTAATGACAATTAACTGAAACCTGCCTTGATTTTAAATGGCCACACACCAGCTGAAATTAGACTTTAGACTTACGGGAGGCAGGGAGAACTAGGTGGGATTACAGGAGTGAAGCCCAAGGCGTTCATCACTAGTGTTCAGTCATCTGCAGAATTGCAAGCTGTTAAGATGTTGTCACTCTCTCTTTACACTATACAGCCGTATAACTGGAGTAGTTGAATCATGGTACTTGACATATTTTTTGGCAGGAAAATCCATTTTAATAGGCATCTCTACTGTGTCCTTCAGCTATTCGGATGGAGTACAGCAATGTTTCCGTATGGTAAAGAATAATAGAATATTCTTATCTGTCTTCTCCCTCTTGGCTCTGATGTCTGCCGGGCTGACGGTAAACAATTGTTTGTTGTGATGCACATTTCTTTTTAACGTCTTGTGGATCATGAAATGAAGTACACAAGGCTCCGCAAATAACTGCGAAACTAATGAGTGCTGGAGAGCATCGAGCTCCAGGACACTAATGACTGAGAGTGGCACTGTTCCTGAAGCTCAGCAGGTTGTTTGTTGATGAGAGAGTGAGCCATTGGCGTCCTCTCTGTCGAAAGACCTCACAGGAAAGCCTGGGCTGTAGCCCTGCTCATTTACATTAGCGCATATCGATCTCCGGCTGGCCTGTGAGTGATCAATCAGGGAGAAGGTAATTGTACACGCACGCTGCTCAATGGTACTGGCCTACTCGGTGTTCTTTCACTTACTCTGTACAGGAGATATTGAATTGGGATTTCCCCTAGCTGCGGTTGGTCTGCCCACACAGTCGTTTTAAATTCAGGTTTGCAGCGTCCCCCCGCTGCTTGTTGGCATTATATGGAAAATGAGACCCGTCACCAGCTGGATTTTGTATAAAATTACAGACATCTCAATGGTTTTAAAGCTTTTAGTGGACAGACCGCGCCATGCATTTGGAGCTGCTCTGTTTCAAGAGCCACTTTATGCTTTGCTGTACCTCCTTTGGACCTCGATCCTTCTGGGTGGTATGGTCACCAGCTGAATCAGTGTGATCCACAGACAGCCTAACTCCCCAATAAGACACAAAGGTTTAAAGTGATATTAAATTCAAAACGTTTTTAGGCTATTTCAAATGCTGAAAATCATTTACAATGGATGCTGGTCCTTTTTAACTTTAAAAGTTTTTTAGCTTCCTGCAGAATCAGCTGGTCCCTGAGCACTGTTTTAGGGCGGCTCTTTGCAAAGTCCTATGGAGCCACTCTTTTGTGCTGTTAATCTGTGTGTGTCTCCACAACCACAGACACAGCAAAGCAAGCCACAACCCCCACCGCCCCCCACCCTGCTTCCTGCCCCCAATTCTCCTTTCTCCTCTCTTCTACCAGCTAGTCGATGGGGGCAGCACAGTGACTTAGTGATTAGCACTTCTGCCTTTTAGCACTGCTGGGGGTCCGCGGTTCATATCCCGGTCAGGACACTATCTGCATAGCGTTTGCATGTGCTCCCTGTGTTTGTGTGGGATTCCTCCAGGTACTCTGGTTTCCTCCCACACTCCAAAGACATGCTGCTAGGTTAATTGTCTAAATTGGCCCTTAGGGACATTATACATTAGCTTGCAAGCTCCTTGAGGGCAGGGACTGATGTGAATGCGCAGCATGGAAAGTGCTGCATAAATAAATAAATAAATAGAAGATGGACAGCTGCTGGTGTCTGCTCTGTCCCTTGTAATCTTGTACTGGAAAGGAAGTTCAGGGAAGCAGAACTGAGAGAGTTGGAGCCTGTAAGTGTTTGAGCACAAATGTAAAGAAACATATGGTTGTTTGATCTGGATTCATTATTGAAAAAGAAGTTTGAGAGTTTAATAGTACTTTAATCCAAAACCGTTTTATTTCTCAAAGCACTTTACAAAGGATGTATTTTACAGAGGATGCACTTTACAGAGGATGCTTACTGTTCATTTAAAGTGTAAAAAGACAATTATCTTCCCAGCCTGGTGTCTGCAATAAAGGCTGCAATAAAAAAATGAAAGGAGAAGGGAGGGTCTATCTAAGACTATACCAACTGACTATATAGTAATAGTATGTGTACTGAAACCATGCCTCTCAACCAGGTATAAATTGCTGTAATCCTCTTTAAGGAATTGTTATTCTTCCCCAGGGCAGGAATATGGGATCTGCCATGGCTGATCTCTAAAGGCATTAGATTTGGGGCTTTCATGTTTGTCCTAGCTTCTGTACACTGTGACCCACAACAACTAATATAATTGGTGAAGTCACAACCCAAAAACTTGTAGCTTCAAAAAAAAGTCTGCAATGGCAGCATTCATTATTCTATCCTAATAGGATGCCTTTTAAGGGGTTTACTAAGCGCTCCAGAATTAGGTTTTTATGTTGTTCCATTATTGTATCTTAAGGTTTACAACACCAGGATCCGGGCCGAGTCTGTCATCACTCAGCCGATCAGCAAGGTTCAAGCGGAGATGAGGAAGCAGATTCTTGTTTCTGGTCCTGCAGGTAAAACATTTGTGGAAGAAAAATGTATGTACGTTTGTAGCAGTGAAACGTGTATTTGATGTGCTTTTCCAGTAGTAAGTTCTCCCCTATGCACTGTAATCCTGCATTGTAATAGATACTGGCAGCATCGCATGTGCATTCTTGGCTGCTGTAAAACTGTGATGTGTTCCAGTATATTTTGATTGCAGGTTCTTCACCCTGAAGATTTTATAAGCCTTTTGTATAATTTGCTGATCACTATTAAAGGAGAACTATGGGGTCAGTGTTTTTCCCCATAGTTCTCCTTAGGGTAACGGGAGGACACAAACTAGCGTCCTCCCGTTACCCTAAGCTCAGTATACCGCGAGCTACAGCTCGCGGTATACTGAGACGCCGCAGCCGGAGCGGATCCCGACGTAGATGACGGGATCCGCCCAGCTGCGTGAGTGACAGCTGGCTCTGCCTATCTAGAGGCAGAGCCAGCTGTACCCGCCCCCTCCCCCGTCCGTTCCGCCAGTCAGCGCTGGCAGATCGGAGCGGGGAGAGGGGAATCCAGCCCCTCCCCCTGTCACGGCAGAGAGCCGTGACAGGATCGAGAGGTGAGCGAACCTGGTATGTGTTCGCTCACCTCCCGATCTAGTGTTTACTATATACTATTACTATAATATTACTATAATATGCTTTGAATATGATGGTGATGTATTAAAGCTAAACTCCATGCACAATAACATTTGTGTTAATTATTTAAAAGCAGCATATCTGGTACAAATATATCCTTTATTGCATCTATACCTGTTCCTGTGCTGCATAGAACCAATAAACAAGAGCCTTTTCTGGCTAGCAATGTACTCCTATTGATGATAGTGTCCGTTCTGTGCTGCTTGCCTTCTCTGAACGGTCTACTCATGGCCCCCTCTGATGTCATCAGGTGGAGACCAAGTGTGGGAGCTGATGTAGTACATACAAGCTATGCCTATCTAGGATACAACTCTGCCCACTTTGCTACATATCTTTCCACACATCTCTGTACCTTTTAGACTCCTTTTCCTGGGGAATCTTTTCATCCTATGTGATGACATCACAGACCCTAAGAAGAGGGGATGGCGGCTTCAGCACAGGGAGAGAGAGGTTGGGGCAGTTATTGTAGCTGCTGTCCAGAGATGACATCCCTATACATTAACTTTGTTCTGACCAATCCATCTGACCGGCATGTAGACTGTGTAGGAATATTGACCGGTAACAGAACATACGGGTGGGTTGCCCAAGCACTTATATCTGCAGGCAGACAGTTCGGAGAGCGAAGCCAATATTATTCGTCTTGCATATGCACGTTCCTGAGGCCAAGTACTCCTCAGTGATGGTAATGTAGCTACCTCAATTCACAAATGAGGCTCCCTGGGACCCACTAAGAACTTAATGTACCCCCCTTCCTTCCACACACAAAAAAAAACTCCATCATTTATATACTCCACTCATTTACATCCAGTTGTCATGCTTATGCAGCCTATAGCACACCCGAGATAAAATGCTTGTTTAGATTTGCTTATAGCACATTAAGGTCACTGGGGACACCATGGTACATTTCCATTTGTTTATTTGTCTTGCAGGTTATCCTAAATCTCCCATGTGCAAAACGTCATGTATATTATACTCCATTTATTTCATCATTTGCATTGAATGTTTTCCTCATTAACACAGTGCAGCTCCTTCTGGCATCTGTCTAACCGCATAATATGGAGGTTTGTGGAAGACACGCTAGATTAGTCAATAATTCTCTTCTTGGACGTTCTTGGAGGAGCTGCTACCACACAAAACCAGGGACACCTGATCAGAATAAAGGGGGGTCTCATGTGGAACCAAATATAGAACAAAAAAGAGGGCACATCCATAGAATCATTCTTTTGATCTTTATAAATACCATATTGGGCTGTAACCACATAATATGGCTTTCTCCACAGGGAAAATGTTCTGTCTCTACCCCGAAGAGGTCACCCAGACTGAAATGAAGACCTTCCTGACTCCGAAAGTCCAAGAGTCTAACCTGACATCCATGGTCCTGTTTCTGAAGAGGATGGATATTGCCGGTCTGGGCCATTGTGAATTTATTAACAGGCCAGGTACCTTTTACTTCATATATTTCTAAATTGTATTTCAAAAGTTACTTTAATTCCCATTTGACATGCTTGTGATGTAATGTCACGGCCGTGTTTTTAACAACAGTGGTAGACACTCCCTCTCATGGTTGTTTTATGTCAGACAGTACAATGGGGGTCCCTGCTGAGCAAGTTCTGAGAAAATGATGGCTTCTGATTGTTTTTGGCAGGGCCAATTTACCAGAAATCAAGCACAATGATTTTTGGAGCTTTTCTCACATTTGTTAGACAATTATCATACCTGTAGAATTACCTTATCCAATCATAGTGACTATGGCTTTCCAAGTGTTAAAAATGAATTTATTATCATGACAATAGTAACAGTAAAAATACTAACATGCTGAAAATGTCAGGCAATACATATTTGGTGTCTGTATCCAATACAGTAAATGATCGGTCCAGGAAATGCATGTATAATGAGACATTTGGATATAGAATATGAATGTATGCTTGCTACATAATTATAGCCCACCACCCTCTATTGCTTTTTATCTCTATCTTCTGAATCCCAGCTCTCCTCGTTCCCATTCCACATCACTGCTTTGTTTTTTCATTTTTGTTTTCTTTCTTCCTGGATTTCTTTGAGATTCCTTCCCGATCCTTATAACGCGGACAAGCTATCTAAGATGCTGACTGGTTATTAGTATAGTTGGATGCTTCTAGCTATTGTTTCATTCTTTATTCTCATTATCCACTGTACAGTTCACTTTTGTATGGCACCTTTAGGGTCATTGGTCATCTATCATATTGCATTTGAAGAGGCTGGTGATATACTTGTTATAGTTCTGTATTGATGGCATATGTTTCCATCACGTCCTGTATACTTAGTTTATTGTCTTGAGAGTAGAACTGTGACCAGGCTATGGACAGTCAATTATTTACATATTTGGAACAAGCCCTAAATGAACTTTTAAAACAACCTTTTAGTGACCTCTGTAGCTTTAGCATTGTGGAACAATTCATCTTCAGATTAATAGCAGAAGCACTAAAGTTGTTAGTCATTTTCACAGCAGTGATTCCCCCAATACAGCACTGGCTCAGAAGCTCAGCTTCCCTTCCGGTAGTAAATTAGCAGATCAGCTCACCCTGCTTCCACTTCTCACCAGTGACGCAGATTATCCTA